TAGGATTAGTTGTGGTTTGTAGTCCCAATTGTATATCATAATTATTGATGATCTGAAAAAAAACATAGAGCTTCTCTACCCACTCCCTACCACCAATCCATCACCACCATTCTGACTCCTTAATCACAATGGGTATTGACATTTTAAATAAATCGCAAGGCTTCCTTCCAGTAAAATGTATGAAAATAAAGAAGATAATACTTCTAAACTATTTTGAGTTCCTTAGAAGAAGGGTGTCTTAACTCATTAAGGAAATATTATCATGATATAAATCTAGCATCATGAAACTTATCTTGGACATGTCAAATTTGGTCTGAGAATCAAATGTAGAGGAAAATAAAACCTACACACAGTACCTGCATAGAAATGGAACCTGTGCAAACACCTGCTTTGGCTGTGTTCCTTTTTGTGGAGACAGATGTCCCCCTTCACTAGGACCAGGGTAGAGATGAGAAGATTGATTTGGACATTGGGATGCTATATGTTCTTTTGGGACTGAAGTTCCATATTAGGAAACTTAATAGCCGACATTTACATAACTTTTAAACCCCCCAAGTAGTACGCTCTGTCTGCACACGCTTTTATATATATGCAATTTGTTTGTTTTTGTTTTGAGACAGGGTCTCACTTTGTCACCCAAGCTGGAGTGCAGCAGGCATGAACACAGTTCACTGTAGCCTCAACCTCCCAGGCTCAAGCAATCCTCCCACCTCAGCCCCCTGAGTTGCTGGGACCACAGGCACACACCACCATACGTGGCTAATTTTTGTAATTTTTGTAGAGACTGGGTTTCACCATGTTGCCCAGGCTGGTCTCGAACTCCTGAGCTCAAGTGATCCACCTGCTTTGGCCTCCCAAAGTATTGGGATTACAGGCATGAGCCACTGTGCCCAACCATATGGATTTTTTTTTTTTTAATTATGAACTTACATAACTTCACAGGAGACAGACCTGAATGAAGTAGTTATTAAACTACTTTGTGACTATGGAAATGATTTCTGATCCTTGTAGTAGATTTCCACATATATTGTTATATTGTTGTGTGTTTGTATTTAGTTGCTCATACTATTTTTTACTGTAGCTTACTTTGTATGCAGGTTTCCATGGGTCAACCTAATTTATATTTTTGTCATTTTAAATGGAAAAATGATATCCCATATATTTTATACTGTTATTTGTTCAGTGTTCTTTCCAATGCGGGATGCTTTGGTTATTTCCAATTATTTGCTATCATACTATCATATACAGAGTATTATGTTCATTTCCGCTCAAAATTATATTTTTGTTTGTATGAACTCCATGTGTATATTTCCCAAAGTGGGATAGTTAAAGAGTTAACAGCAGTTTTATAGTTCTGGTTGCATATTACATTATTACTTTCCAGAGACACAGAGCCAATATACAACCCCACCAGGGGTGTGCGGCATGCTGGTTTTCCCACAGCTTGACCAACATGGAATTTCATCATTCCAGCCTATTTCTGCTAGCTTAATATGTGTGTAGGGCCTCACTGGAGATATTTTATTTTGAAGTTCTTCAAATGATAGGAAGCAATTCTTTTCCACGTGGAATGATTCACTATTTTCAGTTTAATGACAAACCATTCATATTTGACAGTTTTGAAGTGACAGGTTTAATTGCCTTCTCTATAGGGTTCTGTAGGGAGAGAAAATAGGAATGCTATTAGGTATTGGGTTAGGCTCAAAGTGTCAAGGAAGAAGATTAGTTGTGTAGCTCTGAATTAGGAAACTGGTATATGGAGGACTGGAACAGAAATACCAGTTGACTCTGTTTAAGAAAGGCTAGAGGGCAGGAACATTCTGATTTCATGATGACAAAAATACCAGAGTTTTGACACAGGACAACAGGTCTTGCTTCAAAATGAAAGCAAGACCCTGTCCTTCCTGCCTCTTTGATCCTCTCACAATGCCACTTTCTTTCCTGAACATTTTCAGATATTCTTATTTCACATCAACCACTCTGGTCTATAATAGGACCAGTTTTAGAATGACCGGGAAACTAAGACATATTATTTGAGAGCTCTTGGGGGAAGACCTGGAGGCAGCAGTCCCAGGAGAAGTCAGTCTTATCTGTAAAAAGGTCAGCTTGATCACAGAAAAGGGCTTTGGCTTGGTTGTGTTGGCCCTCTATGGCTTATGATCCTCTTTTCAAGTAAGCAAATAAATGATTGCAGTGTTGGTTTGAGTCCTATGGTGCCAAACACAAGATACATTGTTGCTCATGCAATATAGACTTTTTGTTTTGGACAGTGGTCTAATCTGTTGATTTTCTAAAAATCAGTGACTGTCCAACTTATAATTAAAATCAGTCTATCAAACACTTGGAGACAAAATCTGAGGTTATTCTTTCATTCCGAGTTGTCACACTAATTTTTTGCCTTCACTTTTGTCTATGTAGAATATTTACATGTACACCTATCTCATTCTATTTAGATATAACTCATATACTACAAAATTCACCCATGTGTACAGTTCAGTGATTTTTAATATATTCACAGTCATCACTACAATCAATTTCAGAACATTTTCATTACTTCAAACAGAAACCCCAAACTCATTAGCAGCCACTCTCCATTTCTCTACAATATCCCCAACCCTAGGTGACCACAAACCTACTTTCTGTCTCTATAGATTTTGCAATTCTGGGCAGTTCATATAAGGAATCATAGAACACGTGATCTTTTGGTTTAGCTTATTTCACTTAGGATAATGTTTCCAAGGTTCATTTATGTTGTGGGGTATATGTACTCTCTTCCTTTTTATTGCTGAGTAATTTTCCATTGTGTGGATATACAACTTTCTGTTAAGTCATTCATCTGTTGATGGACATTTGGATTTTTTCCATTTTTTGGCCTTTATGAATAATGCTGCTATGAACATTCATGTGTTAGTTTTTGTGGGGAAGTGTGGTTGTCCTTTTTATTTATTTATTTTTTCAACAGAGTCTTGCTCTGTCACCCAGGCGGAAGTGCAGTGGTGCAATCTCGGCTCACTGTGACCTCCACCTCTCGGGTTCAAGCGATTCTCATGCCTCAGCCTCCAAAGTAGCTGGGATTACAGGCACGCACCACTACACATGGCTAATTTTTTTGTATTTTTAGTAGAGACAGGATTTCGCCATGTTGGCCAGGCTGGTCATGAACTCCTGACCTCCAGTGATCTGCCCACCTCAGCCCCGCAAAGTGCTGGGATTACAGGTGTGAGCCACCACACACTGCCAGAAGTATGTTTTCATTTCTCCTGGGTATATACCTATGAGTGGAATTGCTGGGTTACATGGGAGCTCTGTTCAAATTTTTCAGAAACTGCCAGATGGCTTTCCAAAATGGCTGCACCATTTTATATCCCAACCAACAGCATATGTGCGCTCCAGTTTCTCCACATCCTTGCAAACACTTGTTATTGCCCCTCTTTCTTGTTATAGCCAGCCTAGTGGTTGTGAAATGACATCTCATTGTGGTTTAATCAGAATTTCCCTCATGGCTAGTAGAATACTTACTTCCTATCCTAGTATTTCCTTATACTTTAAAAAAATTAAAGAAAGAAAATGCTGTAGAAAATTAAGGAGCACAATTTATGCTTGCCGCTACAGCTTCCTCTGGGGTTTCACACTTCCTTGACTCATCACATAAGGGGCCACCACTAGGATGAATGTGCTCCAGCCTTATTCTTCCAATCTTCTCTCCATTTGTCATTCAGAATCCTGGGAAAGAGAGATGCTTGTCCTGCCGTGAGTTATGTGCCCACTCTTTTGATTTGTGTTTCTGCCTTGACAGTGCACAGCATGAGCGTGGGCATCTTGAAAGGAAATTGGGGTGCCCTTGAAGGAGAATAGATGCCAAAGTTGAGACAAGAGCCTAGTTTCCTGCCTCTCTAGGTGTAACTCATTGCCAAGGTCAGGAGCAAAGCAAACCATGTAGGAAACCTCATCATGGGGGGCAGTTAATAAGTATACCCTAGCACACATTTGCACAGAGAAAACCTAATAAGCTTCATTTGTAATATTTAAGTATTACATTTAAAGTAACAATGTTTAAAAATTTATATATACCCTCGTTGGATACGAAGCATGTTTAAAATATATGATCTCATTTGATCCTTTATAATCTCTGTTAGTTTCTAATTATATTCAGTAGCGGTATTGGTATTGTATGTTTTGGCCTCATTGTGGTTTAAATACACTTTTGTGAACTAGCCTGAGAATCCAACCACCAACACAATGATGTAATAAGAAAACGTGCTCTGAGTTCCAAACAAATGGCTAACAGATGAGTGCTCAGAAGTCAACTTGTTCGTAAGCTGGGGTATCACTGGCCAGCAGTCACATGCCAGCAGGTGTAAGTAGACAGTGAGGAACAACTTCCTCTCATTTGTGTGGCTCCCTAAAGTGTTGGCTGAGCATTGTCCACATGGGTGATGCAAAGGATCACTCCACCAGGAGCAGTTTGGAAAAAATATAATCATTGGGAATTCCTGTAGCATTGAAGGTGCCTACAGGGAGGCAGAAGTATTCATATAACAGTTCTCTGGTATTCTCTGTTGTAGCAGCCAGTCAGCCAAATGGGTTCAGCTGCTTGAAATGAGAATGGCTGGATCAAAATGGCAGCTCAGGATTTAGAGGATTCTAGTCAGAGACCAGACATCCTCACATAGAGAAAACTCTGAATGGCTGGGGGAGAAGGAGTCAAATGCCCTGGATCTTTTTCTTGGGCCTCAAAGTCCTCCTTCTGCCATCATCCTTCCAGTATTGGGCAGGACCCTGACTGCAGGCATCATGGCCTCTGTGAACTTCTCAAGGGTATGTATTATCAGACAAAAACTACAATGTCCACTCACAGGCCACTGAGGGTATCTTAGTCAGTTCTGCTCATCACCCAGCCAAGGCCTACGTTTTATAACATAGTATCAAAGATTGCATCTAAAATTGCGATGATTTCTTAAAATAATCATTTCATTTAGATTTTTCTTTTTTAATCCAAGGTATTCTTCAGCGGAAATAAGGAAACAGTTTACTCTCCCACCAAACCTTGGCCAGTACCATCGACAGAGCATAAGTACCTCTGGCTTCCCCTCTCTTCAACTAGTAAGTATGACATCGACAGAGCATAAGTACCTCTGGCTTCCCCTCTCTTCAACTAGTAAGTATGAGTTCCAGGTTTGCTTAGCGGTTGGTCAAGTGCGAAAGTGCTCAGGGTATGTGTTTGCCTCCTGCTCCTTAGATCTTCCTACCATCACCTCACATTCTCCAGTCACCACATCCTAACTCTGTGACTGCGTCTGGACAGCAAACAATATCCCTCTCTCCCTCTGCCAACCAGTACTTAGGGTGCATAATAGAACCTCTGGGAGCTGTGGTTTTGATGTCTCCAGACTAGGTGGGCTTCCAGGCTACTCAGTCTCATCCAAATTATGGTTCATATTTGGGGGAGAAGGGCTAGCTTGAAAACTTACCACGATTTGTAGTATGCATTTTTTTGGAAAAGCCTATTCCGAAATCTGAAATGCCAAGTTACAGACCTCCTTTTTGTAAAATCATTTTCTTGCCAGTATAATTTACATATAATAAAATTCACACATTTTAGGTGTGCAATTTGGTGAATTTGGGCAATTTAGAGTCACTTAACCTTTACTCAGTCAAGATATAGAACACTTCCTTTATCCTAAAGAGTTCCCCAGTGCCCTTTTACAATCTCCTCTCCCAATCGTCCCCCCAGGCCACACCCTCCAACTCACGAAATCTCTGATTCACTTCTGTCACTATAATTTTGCTCTATCTGGAGCTTCATATCCTGTTACAGTATGTACAAACCTTCTTTTTTTGAGACAGGGTGTCACTCTGTCACCCAGCGTGGAGTGCAGTGGGTGATCTCGGCTCACTGCAACCTCAACCTCCCAGGATCAAATGATTCTCCTCCCACCTCATCCTCTCAAGTAGCCAGGACTACAGGCACATACCACCACACCTGGCTAATTTTTGTACTTTTTGTAGAGACAGAGGTCTCGCTATGTTTCCCAGGCTGGTCTTGAACGCCTGGGCTCAAACGATCCTCCTGCCTCAGCCTCCCAAAATGCTGAGATTACAGTGAGCCACTGCGCCTGGCCCTAAACCTTCATTTTTAAAACACACTTCCTCTTAAGTTGAAGATTGCCTACATTTTTATATCAATGCCAATTGTTGAGTGTGCCTATATATGTTATATTATTTGAGCACTAAATGCCAGATGTGTGCCAAGTGAGATAAATCTGACAAATGAGATGGTTTGTAAAACCAGAAGTGAATATTCACTTCCTTTGTGAGAGAGCTCCAGCCCTCCTGTACTCACTTCCTCACACAGCACAGCAGCACTCTCTTGCTGGTTCTGGTGGTTATCTTGAAGAGGTTAGGTTATTTTTTGTTTCTACTTATTACTTCAAAACCACTTCTGCTCTTAGAAATTTTGTAACCTTCCACTCAGTTTCCGGTAACCGCCATTTTGTCTCCTGTAACAATTTACACGCCGTGTAACTGTGAATCTTTTAAAGGTATGTTTTACTGAAGTGATTTCTGGTTATTTCAGAAGGATAATTTGTGTGTTGTGTCATTAATGAAATAGTAGTACTAAAAAACCTATAGCATCTTTTACTGCAAGAGGTAACTTTCCATGCCATTTTTTTCAGAAAATCTACTTATGACTTAAGTGGCTTGCTAGACTGCCCTTTTTATTTGTACTTTTCCTGTGTGTTTCAGGATTGCAGAGTATAATAAAAGCATATCAAGTGCATAATGTGTCCATTTTTAGGTATATTAGATTAGCTTTACACCAAGATAAATTAGATATGCTTCTGGGTTTAATTTGTGCTAATATATATTTAATTGAAAATCAAATAATTTTTTTTAAAAGATTGACTGAAGTTGTATTCCAAAATATGCAAAATTCAGTTTAAAATAGATTGGATACACTTTTAAATTTTAAACAAGGTAGAGGGTTTTAGTGCTTTGCTTTTAAAAAATAAATGAAGACTGCAGCTTTCTGCAGTAGCTGTCTTGGGAAATAGTGTGGACAT